TACATGAATGTAGTGATAGAGAATGAGAGACAGAGAGAGAGAGAGGTTAATTATAAGATGGTAATCTAAAATAGACAATAGAGATGAATCTTAAAAAATCAATAAAACAATGTAAATATATATCATAGAGTGTCTAAAAACTAAAATTTAGACTAAACTTTTACAATGGTATTTAAATTTATTTTTCAGCTCATACAACAACAAACAACCAACAAAAAAAACACAAAAAAAACAAACAAAATTATAGAATATTTGAGGTAAAGTGGAAGAGGAGGAGGGAATGAGAGAATGAGAGAATGAGTATTTATAAGATGAGAAGTGATGAGAGTTACAATTTAGAAGAAAATGTTTTGGGAGTTAATTCTAATTAATTGTGTGTTGACTAAAATTGAGTAGAAAAATATAGTTAATGCAAATTTATATTATTTCAGTTTTTATATTAAAGTGTGAGTTAAATGTATATAATTAATTGTATTTTAATTGAATATATATTTTTTGGTTTTAAATTAAAGTGTGAGATAAATATATATATGATCAAAATTTTTTTATTTGTGCCTTAATTAAAATAATTTTTTCTTCAGTTTTATATTAAAGTGTGAGTTTAATATATATATATATATAACTAAATGTGTTTTATTTTTGGTTTAGCTGAAAACATAATTAAAAAAGAATTATATAAAAATAGTCCAATAAGAAGATAGTGAAACCTTACTTATATATATATATATATATATATATATATATGATTTATTTTATTATAAAATACTATGTTCTTTTTTCACTTTAATTATGTGATAGTAAATCAACATTTTTGGGAGTTAATTCTTTTTAATTTTGTGTTGAATAAAATTGAGTAGAGAAATATAGTAAATCAACAATTGTGGGAGTTAATTCTTATTAATTTTTTGTTGAATAAAATTGAGTAGAGAAATTTAGTTCTTATATTAAAGTGTGAGTTAAATATTGTGTTTTAGTTAAAAATAAAAATGAAAATAATTAATTAAAAATAAAAGATGACACATGTTATCAATAGAGAGCGACAAATGTCGTAACGTGGTGAAAAGTTAGAAAAAACCTTGTTATATTATATAAGATAGTCATCTAGACGTTATGATCCATCAGTATTAGGATGCATGCAGGTGCATGGGTTCATGTTATTATCAACTCTACCACTCGATCGTGTTCTTGATGATGAAGTGATCATATATATGGATAGATGGATGGATCAAGTATTCAAGTATGCATGTGTAAGTGTCATGAATGATGGATGGAGGATGGAGAAGTGAAGAAGAAGAAGAGAGGTCAATAAATATAAATGGAGAAAGAAACAATAAAAGAGAGAATTAAAGATAGGGGGGAGAAGGGAAGGTTGATGAATTGATGAATGCCGATGCAACTTTAAATACTCACATTAACTCCCTAGTCCCATTTTTGGTTATATAACACAAAATATATACTCCCACATTACTAACCAACCTCCTCCTTCCACAAACTCCATTAATTGTTATTGTCTACTATATCGCAAAAAATATATACTACAACTTTGGATATTCGAATTGAAAGTTGTAAACAAATGTCTAAGTAAATAGTTAAAGCCTTTCAACGGCCTCCTCCTCCTCTATTTTATGTGTCATGTCATCATGACTCGTGAGCATCGTTTCCTCGTTTTATATTTCCGGCTCTTTTAATATGGCTACCTTCCTCATAAATTCCCAACCTTTATTTTCTCCCTTATACTGTGTTTTTTGTGTATATTTATTTTACATTTACCATTTATTTATACTTCACGTTGTCTATATAAATATCTTTGTGATTCACTTTTGGCATAATGTTGGAACTCGGTCTACTGATTATTTCGATACATTGTCGGTCTACTGATCATGATGATGAAAAACAACGACAAACAAGGTCGTGAAACCGATCGGGAGAAGGATGTAGTAGGTATCATGTCTGAATTCTGAAATGGGTTTTTATTTTTCATAGAAAAACAAAAATCTTAGAATATGCATAACGTCTAAGTATACCAAAACGTTATAATGCAGAAGATTTATTTACTTCCGCTTATAAATTGTGAATCGCATTCATAGGAAATAAAGTTAAGATAGTTTGACTTGTATTTTGTTCAGCTTAAAGTGATGATATGTTTTTGAAAAAAAAAAAAGAAGTGATGATGTGTTGTTACGCCATAATTTTCATTTACGGTTTGGTAGCTTGTTACATTCTTTGTGTTTGTTGGCTCTCAAAACAACAACACTTCAGTCTTCAGTGTGACGAGATTAGACGATTTACGGCATGCGTGTATGCTACTAAAACAAGGACGTTCATTCTTCTTTTTGTGTTGGTGATTACAAAATAAACATAAATTGATTTGGTAAAAATGCAGATATGTGATATCTTATCTAGAATTGTGCCTAGTTGTGTGAAAAAACGAACACAAATATTTATGTTTGGATAAATCAGTCCTTTAAAAAACTTAAACTCATGCATAAATAGAACCTAATTGTCATGAAGACAAATGTTAAAACATTCTTCTAAAAATGAAATTGTACTAAAATGTTAGAAAAACAAGCTTTTAAAGTTCCCAACATCCACTCCTCCATGCATGCATACAATAAAGATTCATGTCTCTTCATTTTTGTTTTTTTCAACTTCTCTCCAATTTATTTAAAGCTTGTACTATATATAATTGTTTCTTTTTCATAAATTGAATAATATATATAATAAAATATAAAAGAAAATGTGTTTAAAAGCTACAACGAATTTTATGTAGCAAAAATTAAATTACAAGTTATAGTTATTTTCTGAAATAAATTAGTTGTAATTTCCTGGTGGAAGAATTAAATATTCGGTACTTGTCGACCCGTTTCCATTGAATAATTTTGGAACGATTATAAATGCAAATTCAATTACATGCATTAAAGTTTTAATAAAAAAATGTTATATGCATTGAAGTATATATCTACATTTCATAAGAAAATAAATAATCTCACATTTGGGTGGAAAACTTTACCTATCTAACCATCTGAATTACAAATGTGTAAGGCTAGCTAAATTTTGTACAGCTTATTAGTATTAAAAAAATTTCATGTATATTATATTTTCTTCATAGCCATAATAATGCATTTTTAAGATTTTTTTTACTGCGTACATATATTAATGGGGGGAAAAAAAGAATGCATACTACACTTTTATTTATACAATATAAACTTATTATATATTCCATCCTTTTCATAGTAAGTGTTGTTCTAACACTTACATCATTTTTTTTTTTTTTTGTATTTGAAATAAATGGTTTATCAGAAACTCAAAACATTTTCTTGTATTTGGTATGCAGGGATATATGGAATAAGTAACAAAGTAAATTTTACTAGAAATCAGAAATGGTATATACAGTTTGTAACTTTCAATATTTACGTGTGTTGGGGGTGGTTCCATGCAATTCAATGACACGATATATTATATTCACGTGTGCAATGATGAACGCCAATGCTTCTATCTGATCAGTTTTTGACTCTTTGCAGTCTCAACTCTGTTAATGAATTAACCTGTTGGGATCGGCTAGTCAACAACATATATAGACTATAAAATAACATCCAATGTAAAGTTTTACTAAACGAGTAAACAATTTTGATGGAAACAAAATGCATGTGACGATGAACATTAAATGTATATGGTATATGTTCTTATTAATTACGGTCGATTTGCCCAAGAATTAGGTTTGAGAAGATGTGTTGATCATGTGAAATAAATGCATTACCCATATTTATGTCAAATAATTAAGTTTTAAATGCAAATACAAAATATATGTTCTTCGAGCTTTGAATTGTCAGCCGGAAAGGCATAGATATCTATAAATACATTTGATCCTAATGTATAGAATATTTTTGCTTATCCTTATCATCGTTTTTTCCGACTTTTCTTTCAAAATATCAAATTCCTTATCATATTAATCTATGTACGAATAATTTGTTTGTTCAAAACATATAAATGGCATTTATAAACCAGCTATTTACGTTTGCTTGTCGAAAGACTGAAGAGCGAAAAAATAAATGGACTTGACTGATCTGATTAAAACGGAAACAAAAAGCCCATTAGAAACTTGGACCAAAAAAAAAGAAACTTGGACCAATAATGTCGTAATGAGATGTATGAGTTCCAAAAGACTTTATTCAAAGGCAAAACCGGGTTTAATTATAAATAACCCGATCTTTTACAACATGAAACTCCATTCCCAAAAAAAAAACCAAAATTAGCAGAGAGACAAAAACAACAACAGAACAATACAGAGAAGAAACAAACACTAAACTCTTGGTCTCTGGATCTAGGCCATTGTCCATTGTCCAGAGATTTATTCATACGAAAAAACACAGAACAAAGCTTGGGGGGGGGGGGGGGGGGAAGAAACAGAAACACAACAACATAGAAATACAGACTCAGCGAATCACCATCATCCTTCACTTGATCACTTCTTCAATAGGTTCCTTGAGAAAATCCTCTTGCAATATGGATTATTACGTAGAATCGAATGTGGCCTTATGACTTCCACAAGCGAAGCATGAAGTGGACCCTGTTACAAATATTTCGTTAAACCGGTATAACCGAACCGAAATAAACTGGACTGGAGTGTAATCCCCTATATAGTAGTAACAGATTAGTACCTTTGTGGCGGCAAGAGCGGCTTGGATGACAAAATTGGCGTAAGGGTCTTGGAGAAGGTGATCAAAGTGAGGCACTGAGACGAGCTCACGCACGATTTGCGGACGACTCTCAGGACAATGCATGAGACATCGTTCCACCATATGGCTACTGAACTTTTGCATCGAAAGCTGAACGTAATGCCCTTTTAACTGAGCCAACATCATCGCTACCGCAGAAGGAATCCTCAGCTCTATAACGAATTGGACTGCGTAGTTCCTGCCAACAACAAAACAAAAGAAAAGTTTGTTGTTAATTGTTAAGATTCTTCTAATGAAAAGGTTTGTTTTGTTAAATCAAATTTACCCGAAGGGGTCTTGAGCAAGAAGGAGACTGTTTCTAGAGATCTCAGCGATCAGCTTCTCTCGTTGTTGTCTCATTGAATAAGCAATGCATTTTTGAAGCACACAACATCCATGTCGATGTGTTGCGATTTCAGTGCAGAACTTTGTCGCCGCGTCAAAGATAAACTGTTGGAAAACAAAACAGAACAAGAGTTAGCTATTCTGATGATCAAAAGAGTTGATAGAAAACAACTTGTTCTGTTTTGACCTTGTTATCTTCGGTGCCAAGGCATTGCAAGCAACGTTGAATCACGTGGTTTCCATTTAAATCTTTGATCAAATCAAGAAAACCGGGTCTCAACGCCGATTTCACCAGAGAAATCTGTTTTCCGGTTCTGATTGTTTCCACTAATCTCTGGACAACTCGAGTACTGAACAAAACATGTCTTTTCTAAGCATATGATATCAAAAAAACCAATGGAAGAAATAGTATGTGATCTTTTACCCGTATGCATTGAGAGATATCCTGATAAGCTGACCAGGCTCAGCGGTTGCCACGAGCACGATCTGCGTCCTCTGTTCTTCAGTACAAACGTCTAGAAGCTTCTGCATCAAGTAATTCCCAAAAGGATCCATCATAAGCTCAACGACATGAGCAATGACCTCATTGAATATGATCATCGCATCAACAGAAGTTCCTTCATCGAAGATCCTCTGCAAGAATCGACATCCATGTTGATCTTTAGCCATTAAGTATACATATCCTTGAATGTCACACATGTTAGGCAGACTAGGATGACATATCTCTGTAGTAGCTCCATTATCAGACAGCACCGATCTAGAACTGGTTCTTTGATGATCCAAGCATATACCGTCCATAAAGAAACTATCATCAGAGCTAAACGGCTCTGAGCATTTTGAAACCATAGGAACTTGAGTTCCTTGGCAGAACAATGGTAACATTTCTGCTGTTGTTCTGTAGGTTTGATGATTATACGAAAGTTCAGGTTGTTGTGGCGGCATAGAGTACTCTCTCATTCCACCTCGATTAGAACCAATTCCGAAAATCTCATGAGCATTGATGTAAGGACCAGTACCACCATTACTGCTTGAGTAGTAGCTAGGCCATCCAATTTGTTGAGAATTGGCAATGGAATCTTGAGCTTTAGGATTATTCTCAAACTTTTTTCTTTGATCGAAACCAGACTTAATATGATTGTTGTTCAACCACAAGTCCTGGTTGACACTAGAATCCTTCGTTGGATCGAAGAATCCACATGGAAAGCTTCGAGAGACAAAACCACTATCAAGAAAGACTCCATTGTTAGATTCATAGTGTTTAGGTGCAAAGTTGAAGAGTGGATCCACAGTGAAATCATCGGACTTAGGAAAGGAACCGAGATGACCTCCTTGAGCCTCGGTTCGTCCGTAGCGTACGTGATCTTCTTCAACATCGTCCTTGATATTCATACGGTAGAGATCTTCACATAAACCTAACTCATCACCATTAACAACACTCTTTTCATGATCTTTACGAAACAAGAAATCATTATGGTGATAAGAGACAGGTGAAGAAGTGTGATTGTGTTTAGGAATGGTCCCGTTAAACGGAGGAGAAGCGAACGGAGAAGAACTGTCCTCGGGAGAGCAGAACCCATTAGAGAAGGAACTCGACAGAGAATAATCCGACGAAGAGTTGAAAGAGAATCTGTTGCTGTAGGAGAAATCTCCATGAAAGAGGTTAGGAGAATGGGACGGTGTTCGTAGTGGAGTTGAAGGAGACGAAGAGACCGAAGCTTCACGAAACTCATCCATCTTCATTTTATAAAAAAACACCTCTCTGTAACAACAACAACACTGAAGACAAAATTACTATGATTAGGCATGAGAAACGTAATAAAGAAGATCTCACATCAAGAACAATATATGTACAAGAGAAGAAAACAAATTAAAATTTTTTTACCTTATAAACTATAAAGGATTATAAAACGTACAAATCCTCTTTTACGCCATAAAAATGGAAACGAAAGGTTTCAAAATATCACACACAATGGTATATAGAGAGAGATTAAGAGTAGAGAAAGTGTAGTAAGATTCTCTCGTTTTATCTTTAAGTTAGTATCTTCTTGCTTCTCATCTTCTTTTTTATCTCTAACGGTTTAGGCTTAAGTAATATGATTTAATATATCTAAAAGATATAAATTTAGACAACGCATTATTCTCCTTGATTTTCTATGTTTTAATCGTTTTCTAATTATTACTGATTTCGATATGAAGACTAAATCAACCTTATTATCCTTACAAACTAGTACAAGTACAAGTTTTGAATGGGTAAAACCTTTCTTATTTTAGATTTTGTTTTTGTTTGTTTGAACCTTTCTTCAACTAAATTAAAGTACAATATTGAAAGTATAAATAATTGGATATTATAATTTTTTTAATCTGTGTAAAGATTAAAGAATAAGAACGTTTAATTTGTTATATCATTTTTTAGTAGTAGAAGTGTAAATCTTATAAGTTATAACCTAAAGATTTATAGTTTTATTTTGTTTCACATAACTGAAAAAAAACCCTACAGTCGTTGTTTATTTACGCCATTGAAGTAAATATGAAAAATACAAAAATTACGCCATTTTGTTTTTTTTGTATATTTTCTCTAACGGTTTAAGATAACAAAAGCAACGTAGTTTTCTGCCTGATTTTCTACTTTTGGTGTTAGTAATGTTCTCTATTTTTGTACATATTTTGATGTAAGTAAGACTTAATCAACATTGAAAAAATTGTAAATTATCATTATCTTTAGATTTTGAATCCGTAATTTTTTCTGTTAACTTTTGATCCACTAAAATCCTTTTTTTTTTTAAGCCAAACTCGATCTACTAGATCTACCAAACTTGATCTTTTTTTTAGCCAAACTAAAATCTATTTAATTGTTGTACAGTGTAAATCATAAATAAGCCGTATATTCTTTTAATATTTGATTTGAAGGTGTAAAAATCATTAGAAACCTATTTAATAACAAAATGAAAAAGAAAATCAGAATCGATATGAAAGCAATATCGAATTATATATGTCAAAAGTGACTTTGGTTTTCATAAGCACAATTGTGGAAGTTAAAGAAGAGGGTCCATCACATCTATGATCTATCTCACTTTTGTCTTGGAAGCTACTTTACTACTTGTTCCTATTTTAGACCTAAAGCATCTTCCTTTTACAAAGTCCTCTTCTTTCTTTTCCTTCTCAACGATATTGCATTTACGTAGTTAAGTAATACGTACGCAACGTAGGCTGTAAACCATCTAAGTGTGCGTGCGTGTATACTGTAAATCACGTGTCACATGCTCAAAGCTTTTGTGTCAATGCCAGCTTAATTTTACGACATAAATTAGGATCCTTTATGCTCGAAACTATTGCGTATTAAATTACTTTGGTTCTTTCCGGTTTGGAAAGACCTAGAAAACGAAAACAAACTTCTGACCCAAGCAAATATCCACTGTTTCGTAGCAATGCTAATAATCTCCCAACAGATTACAGCCCCGAACTTGTTATAACTATTACAGGAAGATACATTAGAAACCCTAGCGGCTTAAAAACACAACTGAATAATAATATTAATAACACCACCGTAACTGCAAAATACAAATCACACTTTGAGCTGAAGTGTACGGGACACCACAAGGACACACACCTTTTTTTAAAGAGTTAAGTTGTTACTGGAAAAGAGGGTCTCAAACAAGGGCGATGCTTGTCTCACCACCCGGTGGTTTACGGACACCACCTAGATAGTCTCTTGCCTCCACCTTCCCATCAGAAAATATGTTGTTTCCTCCTATCTCCTTTAGCTTCGCTTGACTCAGATGCTTTTCGACAGAGGATGAGGCCGCATCTCCCTTGAATATGTTGTTCCCTGACAGTTCTGCGAATTTCTTGTCATAAATCTTCTTTGCTGTCTTCACAGATGAGTCTTCTTCAGCAGACTGCATAAGAGTGATTCTCGGATTAGTCCATATACAGCAATGAGTGCTTAGAGTTGTCAAGAAACACATGGAAAGGTCTTACTTGTGATTCAGCTCCGATGTTGAAATTGTCCTTAAGAGCCAAAGCACGATTTGTTCCAGAGCGAGGTTTGATCTCAGGAGGGGGTGCAAAGATGTTCTGCCCACTGATCTCTTTGTATTTAGCATCAGACAATTGCTTCTTCAGCTTAGAAGCAGAATCGTTCTCCATAGTCCCACTGAGCTCTCGCTGTTTGGCCACTTCAGGTAAAGTAGCAGGCTTTTTGGGAGAAAGATCATCCTCTTCACCAAATGATATATGGCTTATACCACTAAGTGTTTGCTGTGGAGGTAATCAAGTGTTTCACGATTATGCACAAAATACATTACAGAAGGATTCTAACATGGTGAATCAAAAAAGGTGATACCTGATAAACCGGTAATGGCTCTGATGCATCATCTTCTTGGTTACGAGAAAAGATGCCGCTACCAGTGATCTCCTTCATTTTATGTTCTGAGCAAGGTTTCCTAATGGCATATAGAACAAACATTGTCACAAGTTTTGACATGAGGATGGATCACCAACTCCTAGGCACAATACGAAATGTATCTAAGAATCCTAAAAGCAAGGCACAGTTTAAACACTTTTTCAGTCTGATGTTACTAATTCTCTATGAAAAAATGGTAGAAACGGAGTATTATCCACAGATGAAGTCAATTCACCAAAAGTTTCGGAACAGAACCAAATTCAAATGACTGCGAGGTCCTACTAAGACAAAATTGGAAACTAAACTGAAATTGGAAATCGTGGAAATGAAAGAGCGATGGAAGAGGTAAGTCTCACCTTCTGTTCAAGCTCTCAACTTCTTCATCGGTCACTTGACCCCCAAACACCACTTTGCTAATCCCATCAGACGGCTACACAAAGCCAAAAAAAAATAAAACAAAGATTCCTCAAATCAATGACGGAGAAAACTAAAACCTTCTGTCAGAAGCGAAACAACAGTGTACCTGGTGGGAACGAACGGCGGAGCGAGAAGCGGAGGAAGGAGAATCCTGCGGCGGAACCTCCGACCAAGTAAGTAGATCTGCGGTTGATGTGTGTGGCTTTCTCACCGGAGTGCTTCTCTCCATTCTCTCTCTCTAGCAAGCGAAGCAAACGCTGATTCTCTCTCTCTAGAGCAGACAAATCGAAGAGAATGTGGAAAAAATATACAGAGAAAGAATTGAGCAAAGATTAATTAATTAACTCAGCTTCCTTCTTTCCTTAACTCTCCCCACTAGTTTTTAAGTTTTAATCGCTCAATTGACGGTATTACCCTTTTCTTTTTGTTCATATGATCTGGAAGCTTCTCCTCTACGCTGCCACGTGTAACTAACAAGTGATCATTAAATTCAGATTCATCCGTATTTTAAATTTTTCTAATCAAGAATTTTAATAGTTGTAATTTGTTCGGGTTCAACAGAAAAAATATTCAAATACTTGTGTTTTCTTTTGTTTTCTTTGAAACAGGCTTTGCAAATTACACAAGAAAAGTGAAAGAAAATACAAAAAAAATAATGAAGCGCATTAGATAGAATTATTATTATTGGGGTCAATCATATTATTATTTTTTCTGACACAAGACCATGTGAAGCCATCACAATTCACAACTAATAAAGACTTTTACCAACGTTTTTATCTTAAGCAGTCATCACGTGATGCCCACTTTTTTTTATTAGCACACAACATGTATAATTTGATTTAGAGGGTGTCATTAATTTTTTAAAAAGCCGAGATTTTATCCTCTCAATTAGGCCTTAATCTTAATTGTTTTCCGCAATCTGTGAGCCTAATTATTCGTGATAAAAAAATGTAATTAGGGATGAAATATAAGCTTAGAAAAAAAAAGTCAAGCAGAAAAAAAGTTAAGAATTATCAGAATAAATTTTTTTTTTTAAATTACAAAGGCCAAAACTTTAGATCCAAACCAATTCTACTGATAGATTATTGGGCTTTATTAAAGGATCCATCATCGTTATTGGGCTTTATTAGAGGATCCATCATCGAAGACGGGCTTTCTCTTTCAAAAACTCCAAGTTTGCCGATAATTTTAAATTTGTTTTCAAAAAATTGTATTCACGCTTTTTGTGTGTCTTTAAATTGCTTTATTAAAAAGTGACAGTCGTGCTCAATAGGCAGCCACGGAGGCCTGGGAAAAATGCCGATGACGGTTGTTTCCGGTCGATTCTCAACGGCGTTTCTCCCCACTGGTTTTTCCTTGTCGCGGGTTCTTCCCGTCAAGTTCCCGGCTCAAAGACACGTTGTTTTCGTTTCCAGATCAGCCCACGCTTCTTCTGTCTCTGTCTCCGCCGAGACGAATTCGAATGTACGCTTCTCTTCCTTCTTCTCCAGTTTTTTTTTGCATAGGAACAGATTCTAATTACGATTAGGAGTTACTTTTTTTGGTACTTTGCTGTGATTATTTATTTTATTCCCCAAGCTTTATGTTCAGTGTGATATGGTTTTGTTTGATGATCACCATTTCCTCAGCTGATTCAATTAGATTGATGTGCAGGTGGACTCTCTTATCGAGAATGAGAAGAACAGAGGAGAGAAGAAGATTCTAGCTTGTCCCATCTGTTATAACTCCTTCGCATGGATTAGTCAACCTAATGGATTAGTGTGAGTCTTACTGTTCACTGGTTTTTATCGGGTTTTCCAGAAATTAGTATTGAGAGAGGAAGTCAATGCTCGTTTTTTTTTTTTTAGAAGGAAGTTAGATATGTTTTATATTTTCTTGGCTACAGAGAATCTGGTGCCTCTGGTGCTCAATTACAATGCAATACCTGTAAAAGGAGTTACTCGGGTAATGAGACGCATCTTGATTTGGCTGTCGCTAGTGGAAGCAAGCAATACAGTGAACCAATGCCACTTGCAACAGAGTTGTTCAGGTGGATGACATGCTTTTACTGGTTCCTTGCCAATTTTAGGCTTTATCTTTTCTTAGAATCAACTTCCCTCTCTTCTATGTAAAAACCAATATTTTTTGGCCTTGTTGTTTTGCAGGACTCCATTAGTCTCGTTCCTTTATGAGAGGGGTTGGCGTCAGAATTTCGTATGGGGAGGTTTTCCAGGACCAGAGAAAGAGGTGAGACGGAGAAGCTCTCTCCTTCTTTAAGGCCTCTTCTTTTGCTGCAATTTTTTTTTTTTTTTAAATGTGTTAAATTCTGTTTGCTAGTCAACTTATTGAAGCTTATACTTGGTTAGAAAACTGATGGTTTCTGTTGTATGTTCTTCATCCTGCAATTTATGGCCAGAACTAAACATGGCTAACGTTGTACTCCACAGTTTGAAATGGCTAAAGACTACTTGAAGCCTGTTTTGGGAGGCAATATCATTGATGCCAGTTGCGGAAGTGGGATGTTCTCGAGGTTATTCGCTAGAAGTGAGCTATTTTCTCTGGTTGTTGCCCTTGATTACTCGGAGAATATGCTGCGACAGTGCTATGAACTCTTAAATCAAGAAGAAAACTTTCCCAACAAAGAGTTTGTACTTTTCACCTTTAGCTCCTTCCATTAGATCTTGGGTAACTAGATGTGTTAAATTTACTCCGCTGTCACAATTCCAGGAAACTTGTCCTAGTCCGAGCAGACATTGCTAGACTTCCTTTCCTTTCGGGTTCACTTGACGCTGTCCATGCTGGTGCTGCTCTCCATTGTTGGCCTTCACCTTCCTCAGCCGTAACGCTTTTCTCCTAATTTTAACATTTTACAATAATACATTATGTGTTATATGTTCCCTTTGGTTCGTCTAGGTTGCTGAGATAAGCCGTGTTCTTAGACCTGGAGGAGTATTTGTGGCCACTACATTCATTTATGACGGCCCTTTTAGTTTTATCCCGTTCTTGAAAAATCTTCGTCAGGTGTGTGCATAACTGCATATGTTACTTCTAAGTCTTAACACATTCAATTGATGTCTCTTGTGTGGTCTGTGACTGATTATACATTCTGGTTATGACAATGGCAGGAATTCATGAGTTATTCAGGTTCTCACGTCTTTCTGAGCGAACGTGAGCTTGAAGATCTCTGCAAAGCCTGTGGACTTGTTGGCTTCACTCGTGTTAGAAACGGGCCATTTATAATGCTCTCTGCCACAAAAAGCCAGAGAAGCTGACACTCTTAATGCTACTCTAATGCATAGAATATACAATTTCCTGGTGTAAAGTTATAAATATTAGAACAACTCGAGAGAGCATACCGTACCTATTTTGGAAAGTTCTTTGCAAATTTGCCTATCTACTACGTTGTAAATTGGTTTTTAACTTGGTTCCCAAAAGGGTCTTCTTGTGAAAACTCGATATCTCTGTTGAAACTTTCCGGAAGCAGTTCACGCATCTCAGAACCTATAAAAGCTTCCATACGAGCACGATCTCTGTCTAGAGGATAGGTACGGTAAAGAAAGGAGTAGATGAAGCAGCACACTGCCATTGGGATTCCTATAGATGTATAAAGAGCTTTGGCTAGAGATGTTGCATTCTCTCTATCCGTGGCTATCTCTGCTAACCTCGATGACCCTTCAGGGATTGGTTTGTAACCATACACATGCTGTGCCAGGATTCCTACTATAGGGGGCGCAAACGATGATAAGATCGACTCAAAGGATTTATCCAGTGCGTATACGCTTGTTCTTGATTTCTCTGGAACAATCTCTGCAAAGATGGGGCTGCATTTGTTTCACCAAGGTCAGCGACAACAATGAAAAGATAGAGAGTAACGCATCACTAGGCATAGTAAAGAGAGAAACTTTACTTGTTCGTAGCAGGAGCATTCCAAGAAACAAACAGCCCCAACAGGACTAAGATCAGACCATGGATTGCAGCTGTGGATGGATCATCTGGTAAGACCAACAAGAGAATTGCAGCAAGCGGGATCGCTGAGGCTGAGCTGATCTGTGCGAGAATGATTCTTCCGGAATTAGGAAGACGGATAGACAGAAAATCTCCCATTTTGCCTCCAAATAAGCCTCCGAGAGAAGATGCAGCCACGAAAAGACCCATCAAGAATGCAGTTGTCCCGTGTGAGAACCCGATGAGTTCCAACCACATGGGTGCAAAAGAAAGAGCAGACCAAGGAAACGATCCTGTCACTCCCTGAGCCACAATGATCTGAAAAGACCGGATCTTTATGACTGTATCAGCTTCCCTGACCAAATCTTTCACCTCTGTACAAAAAGGTTTCCTCAAACCTCGTTGATTGGAAACATCAACACCATCCTTCACAAAATGAGGGTCATTAGCGAAAACTCTGACTAATACACCAACGATAACGCTGATCACACCTACGATATGGAAAGCAACTCTCCAACCAGGTATGCCCATGAAGGTTAATGGAGCTATTAAGACAGAGCAAAGCCCTCCTAGGATCGAACCGATGTTAGCTGTTAACTGTAACCATCCAAAAGCAGTGCCACGGTTGGCATCATCAGTTGAGTCAGCAACAAGAGACTGAATAGCTGGAGCCACTAGGGCAAGACCAATTCCATTCAGAGCTCTAGACACTGCGACCTGCTCGATCAGAAATGTCTCAAGAGATTATGTGTCTCACAAACCCAAACCCATAAAACCAAAAAAAAAACCTTAATTGTGGAAAAAGGCAGAGAACCTGGAAGAAAGTGGAAGAGAAGGCAACAAGGAAAGTAGCAGCGGACCAGAGAAATGCACCGAGAGCTATAACGTGAGCTCGGTTATGTCTGATAGCCATGTACGCAGCCAAGGGATAACAAGCGGCTTGAACCATGGACCGCAGCAACGTCAACGACCCAAGTCCGGTTGGATCAGTGTGGAGAGCCAAACCGACCTCTTTGTACACACCTGGAAGCAGAGATTCGTCAGCTCTCTCCATTATTCCGGCTAGATTCACTAGTATCAGCGTCACCGTCTCCGCCTTCATCTTTCCTGATTAAACCAAATATGCAAATTTTTTTTTATTTATTTTGGGTTTTTGATGGGTTTCTAATTTCGATCTGATTTTTTTCTTTTTTTCATTGAGTTTATTTCGTAACCGAAATATAAATTTGGAATGTGAATCATCAATGTTGACGGTGGAGAGAGTCAGCCAATTACACGATACGTGGTCACTGACGGTGGCGCGTGAAAATGGTCAAAGAAGGCGATGACATTCCCGGTGATCCCGAAAGGATTCTCACTGCTGACGTGTATACGCTTATTACTGTTTTCTACAAGTTATGGGCTTAGGCCCATTATTTTATAAGCGATCAAATAAATTCCAATTTTTCTTTTGGGGCCTTGGGTAAATGTTTCAGGTCCATTAATAAATTTTATACTGCATTTAAAATGTTAACTGATAGTTATAAAAATTACAGAAGGTATTATTGTATACGCTTGGACTAACCTATGGTCCTCACAAGTCAAATTGTTAGTATTTTTTTCTAGTGTTGTGGGGGAAAAGAAAAACAATTTGTCGACCAACAGTGTCATTGTAACTTTGTAACACTCAGTTCAATATATTTCATACTTAGCTTGAAGGTTAATCATCACATTCGCATGATTGAATTATTTTTTCTCATAAGGACCGAACATGGATGGGCCTATTCTACCACTTACTTCTGTTTGAACAAGTCTTATATTCCAAGCTCATATTCGTGTATAAGCAACGAACGTCCCCTGTTTAGTAAAAGAGTTTAGTTGGAGCTAAAACCCTAACTGAAGAAATATCCAAAAATAGCAACTCTTCTTCTTTTATTCTTTTTCCCTTCTAAGCCAAGCATATACAGTATCTATGGTAGTCCCAATGTACCTTTGGATCATGTGCCTTATACATTTTTCCCCCTAATCTAATTTACCTTCGTCTTTTTATTTAAATTATTTTTTATATTTGGATATTCCAAACCATTTTATTAAATCAATTGGCAACATCTTCCACCATCATTTTAAAATATCTAATAAATAACGAGTTGCTCAACATGACGATAACTTCAATACTATGAATATTTATACAACCGTTTAGTTTTCCAGTAGTAATAAAAACCTTATATGTATCCCGATACAATCTAAGATTCCATATCTAAAATTTTGAATTATATAATATAGACATTAATATTTATTGTTTTTGATTAGCTTCTCCAATGCATGTATGAGTAAAGAATTATATTCAATAATACTTATTGAATTTGGCAATTCATAAGAAATGATCTTTAACAAAAAAAACAAAAAAAAATCATAAGAAAATGATCGGGTTTTCGCATATTTAATCTTTAAACCAAAGCCACCTTCATTTTGTCATATATTATTTTCCGGTTACAAGGTCCACACGCCATAGATTCCATCATATTGTTTGCCATCTTTAACATTATTTGACTATGATTTGATAATTTTAGTGTTCAAATCCATGCTACGAAGAGAAAACCAAGAGTAATGGTTCGAAAAGATCAATTTAATGATATGTTATATATCTTTTTTTTTTATTGGTCACCAATGATATGTTATATATGCTTAAATTCATATATGTGTCGTCTACATAAAATAATTATAAAGTATCGACCGTTTACATGCATAATATGAATTATACAATGAACACTATCATACAAGTATGATGACTTCAAGTGTTTAATATACCCGCAATCATTATATCACCTATTTTCTCTTTAGTTTCGTCGTGTATTTATTAGAAACTATGATAATTAATCGGAATAAGAAGTCGTAGATGTATTCTTTAATTATATCAAATTTGTAATCATGGGGTTGCATATACATTAAAGGATTTTTTTTTTTTTTTTTATGCACTTTGAGTACAGTAGAGGTCACCAAGTGACTTTCCGTATATATATATTCCGTATATATATATTTTGGTTCAACCACTTTATTATATATATTCCTTTAAGGTATATATTTTCTTTTATTAATCCTCTTCTTTTTTTTTTTCTTTTTTGGTCTTTAATTATTGTTGAATGGATACTCCAAAATATGAATCAATCTTTATCATAAGTGAATATAGAAAGAAAGAAAAAAATACTATAACATACTTGAATACATACAAGGACCATATATAGTATACAAAATGCCATGCTAGCTTAACAAATTGAAGCCTATATAGAGAACTTGATCACCACCTTTACTTATTTCTGAAACCAGCAGTAATCATATTTTTAATTTTGTTTGTAACCAAATCTTAAATCAGTGATTTTCTTGTTGGATAAAGCTTTATTTGTTAGACTAGTCAGTCGTATATATGGTCCATACTCCATATACAGCCACCTTATGATGAATAGTATGTTGGAAGTATGTTTGCGGTCTTAGAGGAAAGATACTTGAAACAAGAAGACCACATTATATACAATATGATTATTCGATTTATAATCGTTGGTTTTTGACTACTTTTTGGTATTCTTGTTCGTTTCTTTTTTGAAAAAGATAGATTTAAGAGAAATTCTTTTTACGTGGCTTTGTTTTGGGTTCATTATAACTTTGGTCATACTTTTTTTAATTTTTTGCTAGCTAGCACGAGTTTTCTAAGTTGTCGGCAGGCAAAATATAAGTGCATTCATTCCATGCATTATTTAGAAACAAAACAGAAACGAAAACACTACGCTTATCATACCAATTAGCTCAAAAACATCATATCGTATCTGACAACATCTATCATTGATAGGCCATGAACTATATTAATTTGAATGTGTCAAAAACTGTCATATTCAAATATTCTTATCCAATTTCTAAGCATAAGCACGATGTAGATATTTTTGCTCGAGCTTTCTCTTTAGTACGAATTTTTTGTGAAATCTATAAAAAAGATTTGGACGTGTAGGTGGGATGGACAAAAATGAAAAGAAAAACAAAAGTAGTCAAAGCCAAATCAAACATACAACAACAGACAAAGAAAGAAAGCTGCCGTATGAGACAGAAGGTCCCCAACAAAGCCGGCACCGACGACTCGCACGAACGAACAAGAGAACACCTTATCAGTACTGTAGTCTCTTTCACACATCAAAAAAAAATCTGATTATCTCAAGTAGAACAAATTTATATATAAATCAAATGAATTTATCACTTTAACTCATGTACAAGTCACAGTTAAAGAAGAAAAGTTTTAGTTTAACATAATTTAATAACTTAAGCGTAATTTCAGCAGAATCTGTTCGTGATCATAATTTGGTGGTTATTATATATATATATATATATATATATCAAAGTATAGTAATATAGATATCACCCACTATATTATTGTGGATGCTTTGGCGTTTAAGAGGATAAACTTAATTATTCCATTAATCACTTTTATAAAGCATGATCAACCATCAAGCATTGACCCTCTGGTTCTTTCTTAACTTTTTTTTGTTAGTGTGCCACAGACTAATGCCATTATCATCATAAGTTGGTAAAAAGAGACAAATCTTACTTCCATCCATTTCAAGAATTCATTAAAAAAAAATACGTTTTTTTTGTTAGCAAAATCACATCTTAAAACACGAAATAATCGCTGAATTATCACTTATCATACCATACTAGCTAAATCGTAACCATTTGAGATCGGTAGTTATATGTATGTTTTAGACAAATCATTGTAGGATACTTATATATCCTCATCAATCGAGGTCATCATTAGATATAAATGTTTAATACAGCTTTGATGTTTACCTAAATTGCTGTTGCTAAGATTAGTTGTAATTAAAAAAAAAGTTTGAAATCAGGAATATGAGATAGATGTATTCAAAACTATACAACAAGAAAACTATATGATTATAGGGCACAACAACTGCTAACAGAATTGCTTAGTTTATTATGAATCAATTGCTAGTGCTCGTAACTAATTGTCCAACTAAAGGTTTTGATCAGTTTTGTGTTCTATGATAGTAATTGTTTATGTGAAAAAAGCTTCGTGTTCCTTATTTTAATTAATCGTAAATGTCTAGATATAATGATAACAAAGAAAAGAAACTATATATTAAAATTTTCACTAGGGTCCAAAACATTTGAACAAGCTATTTGCGTATTTCGTCTTTTTCCGTTAAGACAATAAACAATCAAACGATAGGGTCAGCCAATACATATAATAATTCCTACGCATTATTTCAATAACAGGAATGTTTTAACGAATCGACCCCATTAAATCAAAATTAAGATCTAATTTTTTTGGATTTTCAGAAAACGAAAGCAGGATTTTTGTGTTATAGCAAAAGGCAGACAAATCAAAAAGTTGGTTTCTTGGAAAGTACTCCACTGTATACTCTTTTCTTAGACTTATATATAACTTAATGCCTTAAACATCCTTTCATCTTCAACTCAAAAGAAAAAACTCTTTACTTACTCCTCTGCTTCATCCAACTCTTCACAGTGCTTTTACCTTCTTCAAAGCTTCAATCTTTTTATCTTCTCCAAAAATGGCTAGATCGAAGAAAATCTCCACGGGTCAAAAACTGTGTTGTGAGAGTATCCTTGGCTGTATTTTCCAAAGCTGGAGCCCTCGCCGGCGAAAACCCTCTTTGCCGGAAAAAGATCACAGGGTAAAAGATGACTTGCCTTCCAAGTCAACAGCCACTACTACAAACCCTAAAATCCTCCCAAGAAAATCCACCGATGCTTCTTCTCAGCCAAGGAAGTCTGATTCCCAGAAACCCCAACAAAAGCCAAAAGTAGATGAGAACCACCCGAGAAAATCATCGGATTCCGCCAGAAAATCATCAGATTCCGCAAAGAAATCGATCTCGTCGGGCTCATCAAGAACAGAGAGCAAGAGATTCTCACTTAACGGCGTCATGGGGAACATCATAGTGAAACCACAGCCCGCCGTTAAAGTCGACGTAGCACAGACGAAAAGCAGGTGGGAGGGCAAACCGGTAAATTACAGACTCGATCCAGAGGCTCTCAAGAGAATGGGAAACGAAGAGTACTGTCGTGGGAGGTTTGGAGAAGCTCTTGTGTTTTACGAAAGAGCCATCTCAGCTGACCCCAAAACGCCGACGTATTGGTGTAACAAATCCGCCGCTTTGATCAGTCTCGGTCGTCTTCTTGAAGCTTCCGATGCTTGCGAAGAAGCTTTAAGACTAAACCCAACTTATGAGAGAGCTCATCAGAGACTCGCTTCCCTCCAACTCAGGTAGAGTCTTTTGCTTTTTTAATTTCTCTAACTAGCCCCTGGAAATTTGAGATTATTACTCTATGGTACCGTATAGTTTATTAAACATCAAACTGAGCCCTGAATTTTGTGTGTTGACCAGATTGGGTGAGGTTGAAAAAGCTTTGAGTCATTATAACGAAGCTGGAAAATATACAGAGACAAAACATATAGAACAAGTTGAAGATGTTATAAAATGCTTAAGGAGGTGCGATGAAGCTCGAAGATCAAAGGAATGGAATGTTGCCTTGAAAGAGACTCTTTTTGCAATATCATATGGAGCAGATTCTTCTCCTCGGGTTAGCTTTCTTACTTGTTTGTCTTTTCTGTGTATCCAAATATAGTATTTTGTCTAATTAAACCCATAATTCTCAATCTCTTAAAGGTCTATGCGCTTCAAACTGAGGCTTTATTGCATCTTCAACGACACGAGGAAGCATACAGCGTGTACCAGAAAGGGACAAAACGTTTTGAGATTGATAGTTTCATAAAGATTTTTGGTCTTTCCATCACTTCTTACCTCTTAATGGTCGGGGCTCAGGTCTACATTGCTGTAGGAAGGTCAGTGTACTGTACTACTATCACCCCTACAAGAGAACAGTGTGGCGTTTCACTTCTTCGGAAGGGAACATCTTGCCGGTTTATTAAATAGTAAAATGTGAGGAGAGACTTATGTTTTGCTTTCTTTCTTGGACAGATTTGAAGATGCAGTCACGGCGTCGACGCAAGCGGCTCGACTGGATCCAAGCAGCGAAGAAGTAAACGCGGTGGCTAGAAAAGCGAGAGCCGTTGCTTCGGCGAGACTGAGCGGAAACTTGCTTTTCAACGCGTCTAAGTTCGAAGGGGCTTGCGTGGTTTACACGGAAGGACTTGAGAAAGATCCATATAATGCACTCTTGCTCTGTAACAGAGCTGCCTCAAGATTTAAGCTTGGTCTGTTCGAGAAAGCCATTGAAGATTGCACATTGGCTCTCAGCCTCCAGCCGTCGTACCGGAAGGCGAGACGGCGCAGGGCTGATTCTTATGCCAAGGTAGTCAAAAGTTCTATTTAACCGGTCCGACCCGATATTGAGATTGCATTGCTAATTTTTTATTAGTGTAATGTAATTTGTGTTTGTTGGTTTAATCTGTGTAAGTAGTTGGAGAAATGGCAACACGCGATTCAAGAATATGAGTTGTTGGTGATGGAGACACCTGAAGACGAAGAGACTAGAAGAGCCTTGGCTGAGGTGAATGTCCGGTTTAGGAAGCAGAACGGTGGTAATGTCCCGTTTAAAGGAACCGGCTCGGATTTAGTTGTGGTTAATTGAAATGGGAGATGTTTATTGGCTAAGCTGAATTTGTATAGTTTTAAGAGATTTTTTTTTTTTTTCAAAATGATTTGATTGTGTCTGCGTGTTTGTTTGCCTTTTGTTGTGTTTTTGCTAATTTTATCATTTTCTCAATTTAGGGGATTTTTTTTTTTTATTGTGTTTTTACCAGTCAAAATTTTGTATCAAACGGATAGACTAAAAACTCTTATAATAAGGGAAAAGTCTTATAATTTCTCTCTTTAAAAAAAATATTCAAGTTTTGGTTTTTGTGAATTTTGTAACCTCAGGTCATAGATTTGTCATATGTCTAAGCCTTGTCTCAAGGACTTATGGATCTGCAGACATAGCTGAAAGCCGTTTTTACTCGAAACTCATGTGTGATCTAGAGTTTTTAATTTTAGAACCAAACATGAATAACAAAGTGATCGGAAATTAGACAAGCCATCTAATCAAATGAGCTTTATAAGTGTACATCTAATATCAGTTTACATTTTGCGAAAAAACATGCTATATAAATTGTTACACAATAACATATGTATACAAAGTTGTTAGTCTGAATGTTAGCAGATTTAGTGTTGAAAACGAATCTATTACTATATTGCAAGATGGTCAGGAAAAAAACAAAAAAGATGGAAGAAACTTTGGTAATGGAGGTTTGACAATGAGTGTATGTTTGTTTGTAGTGGTCGTTCATCTTATGATGCATATACAATGTCTTCTTCTCCTGATAGTGAGTGATGTGCTTCACTATAGCATTGAGAAAACTAAGATGACGTTGGCTGATGTTATTCGGTTTGATGTTCTTATCAGGATGAAGAGAGCTATTTTGCCTGTTATTGCTTGCCGTATTCGAAGTTTATGACCTTCGCTTTGGTTTTTTTGTTTATTGCATCTCTCTCAAGGAGGAAAAAGGTGAGAAAGACCAAGCGTCCTGCCACTTTTGTGGAGTTTGACATCGAACCCGTGTAAGTAAGGACATAGCTAGCAAATGGAAATGTGTGATGGTTCACAAAAAATAAAAAAGAATGATATATTAAGCAACTTCGTGTAATATATAAAGTCTGTACATATTTGCATTACATTACAACGTTGTCATGAAACACACCAAACAAAGAAGGTGAAAAAGAAAAAAACAAACCTTTGAGATACAAAACAGAGGAACCATCGAAACTCAAAAAAACCAAAAAATAAAACCAAAAAAAGAAACGAGTATCAAAACTAATTAACAGATAATGAAAATGTTGGTAGAGTAAAAACGGTTAATTAGAATTTAAAATACGATGATTAATAATGATGAGTAACGATGGATTCGTAAGAGTTCAGCTTTTCCAGCTTCGACTCCGAGACAGAGGATCTTGAATTCCGCCGACAACCCAAGTTTCCTTGGCGATGTCTGAAGAGAGTCTGTAAAACTCAGTATCATATCTCATCAACACTAGTTCCATCTTTTCTTCCTCCATTAGTGATCTCAAATCCTTCTTCGTCTTCTTCATACCCGTTTCTTGATCCTCTGTTTCTTCATCTTCTTTTTCTTTTTCTTCTCTGTTATCTGGTTCTGTTTTTACTTTCATTCTCTCTTCTAACCAACTCTTCGCAGGAGCTGATCTACACCGCATCAGCAAAAGCGCGTTTGGCGGCGGAACCGCCGGTTCTGCGTCTAAGTCTTCAAGGTCGTGTTTTTCGTCACCATCTACGACGCCACACTTTTTGTTATCGTTGTTCTTGTCGTCGTCGTTGCTGCTCTGTTCCTCTTGTAAAACCATAAACCATTTGGAGAAAACTGTCTTTGAGTTTTCTTCTTCTTCTTCTCCTTCTCCTTCTTCCTCCTCATCATCGTCGTCTTCTTCTTCATCGTCGCTTGTGACATCAGCATGTCGGAAATCACCAAAACACCTGAAATCGAATCTGATGTTTGTGAGACAAGTCAAGAAACCCATCACATCTTTCTTCAATCCAAAAAACTTGCTTCGGGCTCTATTATCATGTATCCTCTCTATCTCTTCCATCACCGATTGCCAATTCTTTCCTCTTCCTCCACCGCATTTGCTCGGCCGGACTTTGATCTGACCGGCGCAAGTTACTTTAGGCGATGTAGGTTCAGCTATTTCGTCACCACCCATATTCTTACTGCTCGCTTGTTTAGCCCACAAAGCAGGACTCCCGTGTCCTCCTCCACCGCCGCCGGAGAGTTTACTTAGCTGGCGACGGTGCTGGGGACGACGATTAGTGGAGGAGGAGTCGGAAGGACGAGATGGGCTACAAATGGGCTTAGGAGTAAGAGCTAGGTGGGCTCTTGAAGGGAAACAAACCAACAAATCTGCAGAGTAACCAGAAGAAGAAGATCCTCTGTTTCCATTGCTTCCTTTGATCATAGCTTTTGCTTTTGTTTTCTTGGGTTTTGGTTTTTGGATCGATCTCTCTCTCTCTCTATGGAAGGGTTCAGCTTTTTATGTTTGGATTTATAAAATTCTTCTTCCTTTTTTATAAAATTTTCTTTTTAGGCTTTGATATTCCTGTGCTGTGACAGCTTTACATGCTTTTTGCTTTTGCGAGGGGAAAAAAAAAACTTTCTTTTTCACTAAACCTTTTTTTTCAAAAAGTGAAAATAAAATCGGTGGTGCAACTTCCTCAAATGTCTTCGTAAATTGTTGATATTGAAAATGTTTGTGAAATTGATGGATAGATATGAAAAAGAAGAAGTAGTGATGGGGTCAAAGGAGTGAAGTGGGTTCATTACAACTTTATTCAATCGTAAACATGAAGCTTCTTGACTGAATCATTCACTTTCAAACTTTTAATGGTCTTCACCACTTCTTGTTCATGTTTTTTTGAGTAGATTCATATATAAGTTTACTTTTTGAGATTTATATGCCAATACCAAATGATGGTTTTGAATTTTCACGGTGAGTGTGTATCCTAGGCTTACTATACCAAATCGTCTTCAGTATAGAACCCGTGTATAATAGAAGTTAGTATCGATTTCAACCCTATGAATTCGATTACCCAAAAAAAAATAAAAAATGCATTGGTCATAGTTCTTACATTTATCGATAAGCTATTCACAATCAAACTTCAAAGGTTCTTTTGGTGATATTCTTTGTGTGTTAAGATTACGAAACTAGATTCATAGATAGTGCATTAGTAATATTTTTTTTTTGTTTTTCTAAACTATAACATGTGAATGTGACAAGGGTGATGATGGGTTATAGTCGAATTGCTCAATAGATTAAAGTTGGAAAGGTTTCGTGGGCTTTACTTTTTGCAAATTCAATATAAACTGATAATATTATTGGAAAAAGAAAGACAATGGTATAAAGGAATAAAAAAGGAAAAGATTGGAAGGGCACGAGGCTTGTTTCTTAATCCATTGGTACACTGAGATCACAAGCTGTGTGGTCACACATTTCCCTTTCTTGTTGTTATCGTCAACCATACAATCATCCATTTTCAATTGCCATCTTACGGTTTAACTTCCTTCTAACTATATCACCAAACTATATAGCATCAAAACACTTTTATCAGAACAAAAATATAAAGCCATCAAAAGACAATGATATTCAGGAGTGCAAACGATATATAGGGATGTTAATGATCACATACTGAAATGGTTTATGGTGAAGTTATTGTGACATGAGGCATGATTTGTTTGATATGATGGTTTGCTCAATCGAAAAACATCATTGCAGAGATTAATGTTCTGAAAACCAACCAAACAAAAAAGTTGTGGTTCCACTTCAAACAGTTTTGTTTCTCTAAATATTCTACAGTTTCATCGTTCAAATCATCACAATTGGTATGCTAATAAAACTAGCTAGAACTCAACATGAAGTAAAGTCAATGATTTGTATAGACTATAGAGTTTCGAAAAACATATTAAGAAACAATATTTTCCCACCATGGTTGTAGCAGTTACACGTGTAGTATAATACGGTTTTACAGTTAGCGTTAGACGTACAGGACAAACCTTAATTTTCTCAAAACTCTTAGATAGTATTCAAAAATTACACCACCAGACGTCGCAAGTTCTCTTATGCTTTTTCTATATGTTTTGGTGCTTCACTCGTCGTCTTTAAAAAAAAAAACAAATACACTTGTTGCATGATATGTATATTTGACAGGTTTCAGTTCTTGAATAGGAGATCTCCCTTTCATGCTGGTCTTGTTCTTCTTTACTTTTCACAAATAAACGTGAAACTTATTTTCTAAATTTCCTTTATGATTAAAGATTCAAACACAATAATTTTGATTTAGTGTCATGCTTCTTACACAATATATTGCTTCCTTAACTGAAATTTCACAGGCAAAGTTGTGTCTTTTCGGTTAGGATGTAGCTCTCGTTCCAGCTTTAAAATTTCAGTAAAGTTCCAGACTAGTTTCATGAAACGTAACTCTTGCTTTATCTGCTAAATCCCATCTAAAATAAAAACATGTATAACATGCACGTTTTGGATCTTTTTGCTGTGGAAAACTTTTTTAACTGGCATTAGATTCTTAACATTTCTAACGTATTATAATTATATACAGTAGTTTATTTTCGCAAAGTTTTGACCATATATATCGGATAAAGTAATTATGAAAACTTGTTTTCTTCACTCGTATTCATGTGATATGGGTAAACATGCATAACACTTTTGACCTTCATCGGATATTGTTTGCGTTGATTGCGTTCATCTCTTTTAAAGTTGTACAGATTAGAACTGTTAGAATGATATAAATGCACTTCGAAAAGTAATTAAATACAAATAAACTAGCATACCCCAACTATCAAATTAAAGGATGGAAAATAAAAAGTTATAGGTATATCTTATCATTTGAAAATAAAATAAAAAGGTACGTTTTATCATGATAAGTTTGCATCAACATTGAGGTAGGCCTTTAGCAGTCGAATTTATATATATATATTTAACAGTTAAGTAGCAATATAAAATAAATTATTGAAATGCAAGATATCATTTTTAAAGCGATTTTCATAAAAGCTAAAATTATTTGAAGATACTGTTTTTGATTTAGTTGTATCCCAATCCTTGTGAATGAGAGCGACAATATTGAAAAATCATGTGGGTAGGCCTTTCTTAAGAGCCTCACTCAAAAGAAAAAAGTTAGGCAAATTACATCTCATGCTCTTTAAAAACAATAAAACGTAAATAAATTATTAAAAACAAAACTTCATTTATATGACAAGAAAATATGACAAGAAAATGTGACAAAAACTAATCCTGATAAAGTACGAAAAATTGTATTGCATGAAACTTTAAAACTTGCAATCAAAGTTTTGGATTGAGGCATCATTCACACACCTATAGTTTATGGTTGAGATTCAGTCTCTAATCAAGTTTACCTAAGTGAGACATTCTTTTTTAATTAGTCCATATTTGTCATTGAAATGTAAGCAAGGACCACATTTTTTTTATTTTTATAATAGGGTTTAATTCTTTCTCCGCACACTATCGCCTTTTTTGCAAATGTATCATCAAATAATGTTAAGGAAATATATTAGTGACCTAATCAAATATAAAATCCTTTTGATCATGATGGTGATGATACCACTCAATGGAAGACTTAACAATGTGTTCATAATGATATCAGATCAATTAAATTTATAAGTTTTTTATTTGCTCAAGCAAAGGTTGAATGAGACATTGTAAAACTAAACTTCGAACTATATAGCTCATAAACTGAAAGTGGGTTTGGTTTTCTACTTTTCTTCTGCACAGACCGGGCCTTGATGGGCTTCAAACTGGATCCAATAGGCTCTTTTTTTTTTGTCGACTACTGGATTCAATAGGCTTGAATCTTGCAATTTGCATTCTTATAATTATGGCTTTATTCCATGATATCCAGCTCATGAACCTAGCAATAACAAAAGTATTTTTAATGAATTAATTTCATTTTATAGTCAACATTGATTCATTACATAATGGTTTAATTTTTATATATTGAAATCATTGCTATTAAAGTAATCATTCGAATCATATCTGTATATATTATATTGGATCCTGCGACGCAATTAATGTGATAATCATATCATATTAGAGGGGAATATAATTCGGATTCGATGTCATTTGACCAAAGTCGTACGCCAATGGTACCATTCGGCTTTGTACGATGTGGATTTTTATATACATAAGAAAGAGGCCGAACAAACAACAGCCCAAAAAAGCCCATTAGGTCTTTCAAAAACAAATTTAGAAAGAATTCATCTCTAACACATTCCTCCTACGCTTGAGCAACGCCGTCACGGCTTCTCCGTACATACAATCGCCGCCGTCTCCGGCGAACGCCTCCGTCACCAGCTCAACGTCATTATCATCTGCGGGTACACCACTCGGCCTTACGACCACAAGCGTGGCGGCTTCGAGACAAATCCCGCTCTTAAGCATCAGCGACGGCGCGTGTCTCATACTCATCCTCACGCTAGGAACCAGGGTGCGTTCACCTACGCGCTCGACTCCTTTAACATCCTCACGCGCCTCCGTCTCTCTGTACTCCTTCATCCCGGCGGCGTCCATCACCACCGTACCTTCACCTTCTCGGTCACGAACAATCAATTGCTCCATCTCCTTGTGATCTTTCACCAAATCCCTCATCAGGTAATGGCGCGTGGAAGCCGCCATCAACGCGCTGATCGTCCACACCACGCGCGTCTTCAGTCCACAGACGAACTCAGAGTCAGACTCCACAGCACCGTCGACGACGGCGGAAGTTGCGGAAGTATTAACCGTCGCGGAACGGAAAGCAACGATGACGCAGCTCTTGAGCGTTTTCCCGAACTCAGCCTTCCACTTAACGGCGGCGCCTTTCTCGAGCTTGACATCGCCGCCGTATAACTCGACCTCAAGGTTCCGGATCCGCTCAAAGCCGACGAGAATCTGAGCCGGAGTTTTGGGAGATCGGGTAAGGATGTCGGCTGGGTCAGAAGGTTTGGGGAAGATAGGGAGGAAGCCGTGAATAGATTTGAACAGAGAACGGAAAAAGCTAGCGATGGGGGAGTCGAGGTCGGGGTCGGAATCGGTGATTCCGAGGATCTGATCGAGCTGGAGAAGGAGCGAGTCGGACTGAGTGGCTAACGAGTTGAAACGTTTGGAAACGGAACGGCATCGTATTAAGGTTTTGACGTCACCGACTTTGTTTAAAATGTCGATGACCACAGGATCTGGAATCGCATCAAAAGCGTCCATGATTTGACTAAAATACCCCTTTTCCTTCGGGATCGGTTAGAGACTTCTCTCTCTCTCACTTCTAGTTTCTCTATGTGTTGTGTAATGGAGTTTGTTTTTGTGTAAGAGAGAGTATTTTTGGAGGGGGTTATATATATTAAGGCAGGAAAGAGATAATCATTATTTTTTTAAATTACCCCGGCATGTAGGGTCACTATTGCCGTCTGTATAATGATAATTAATTTACTAATAAGTACGGCTTTTTCTCATATATCCCTTTTTTTTATTGCTGGGTTGATAATTAATTAGGAGACATCAACGATTGAGATGCTCTCTAATCCGGCGACATCCTCCTTGATCAACGGTCCAAGCTGCTTTAACTTTTTCTATTTAAATCATCACGGTCCATACCGGGGGAAAAAAACTTTATAACTGATAAAAATGAGAAATATATATATATATATATATATATATATTTGAATGGAGGATACCATAGCTTTAAATAAACTTTTTTCATCTCTTTATGAGAATCAGTCGAATTGTCGACCAAAAATAAATTCGCGAAACTATAGTTTTCATGACGGATGAAATGATTCTATATCAAATAAGTATTAATAACGTAAAGAGAGTAAATGGTGTTAACTTTTCTAGCTACTAGCTTTGTCGATAATATTTTGTCTTCTAGAAGTGTTAACGAGACTTTAAACTCAAAAGTTTATCTGCTGACAAAAAAATAAATTGATTGAAAGTTGAAACTATACATTTGGTTCAGTGACGAACAATGTCAAATTGAACAGCCTTCATTATTTGAGATATTCCAAAATCATTTTGGAGGGTTCGGATGGTTTCTTTCTTCGTTCCAAAAGATTCTGAGACAAAGAAAGAAACTTAAGGAAAAACTTACATTGATTATTTCAATTTCAAGTTTACAACCAGTATTTTTGTTATTGGCTTACATGTAGAAATAATAGATTCATACAAAACTACTACATTCAGAAATTCAGTAGTATAAAACATTTTTGTGTGTTTGTAAAAATATATTTTAAAATTACGAATGTAACTAAACACTTCAAATGATATTAAACGCTTCATATACTCTACGTGGAACGTTTACGATTAGTACTGTATTATTAAGGATCAAAATAAATAAATATCTTAAAACCTGACGTCAAACTATAAATATTTATACAGAATAGATATGATCACAACCAAACAAAAAGCTTCATTTACAACACCCGTGGCCGTGTTCACGAGAGTCATATAAGGGATCGTTGGTACACTCCCCCGTTGCATTTTGTACGGAAAGTACTGCTACACGAGCAAACACTGTAAGCGGCAATACACACTCTCAGTCTCTCTGCTTTAGCATTGATGGATCATGGTGTTGTTATAGAAGAACCACTGTATTGTCTTAGTTTTTGTCTCCTCGTCTATTTAAGGATTTAAGGTAGGAATATTAGTGACTTATAATTAAAAAAAGGCTTTGTGAGTTCGAGTGAATATTTCGTAGATAAATTTCAGAGATATTTTACACTAGAACCCGAATTTACAAATCTTTTGTGACATTTTATATTTTATTTTACAAAAAAAAAAAGATCCCCAGATAGATAAATAGTCACAATTATATTCAAACATTCAATAACCAAATTCTTAAGACTTTTAAGACATTACTGTATGTCTAGGTACGTTCATTCTGACCTTATCAATAATAATGTTAATTTTTTGTTGGTTTCATGTCAAAAGAAAAGAGTACATATATATATATATATATATATATATATTAGTTTTCTTTATGTTACAATTATTTTTCAAATCTATTTATTTATTTGATTTCAATATGTAAAGCTCGAGTGATGATTTAAGTCGGGACAGGTTGTATTAATGCACTTTATTTGTCTTCTGAAATAATGCATGGATTTGGGAGTTGTTGTTGTGGCAGATCTTGTCACACGTCCTTCCATGGAGATCCATACATCATTTGCATGATCTAGTGGCTGAGTAGAAAATGTCTTACTCACGAGTAATGACTCTTGACAATAATTTAGACCGGCGTTGAATCAATTATGGCTATTGAGTTATTATGACAATAACCTTATAATTATAAAGGTATATACTCTAAAATTAATACTAGTGTTTGTTGCGGTAATGTGTACACACATTTAAGTTATGTAAGCATATTTAACGTACGTTAATTTAGATTACGCTCCCTTTGTTCAAACGTTTATTGATAGATTAACTTGTTAAACACTCCCTTTGTTCAAAACATTTAATGAGATCCTCTTGTGCAATACTGAATTGAGGCACTAGTGCACGTGTGTTCTCTTCAAATTCAATACTTACGACCGTGCTTGTTTGGCTAACACATTTTATGGTGCCAAATCATAGCTGAGATGATATGATCCAAATCAAATTTTATGTTTAGAGTTGTAGATGTTGGACCAGAGATACCGTTGGGAAAACATATCTGTGTCATTTGTCTTTCCATTATTAACAAATGCAATAATTTGTAGTTCGCATTCATTTTGTATCTGAAAAGTCAAAAACTGTTATTATGATATTATCCTTTTTAGCTTTGAAAGAAATAAAAAGAGAATCAAATAAAAGAAAATATTTATTTGCACGGAAAGAAAGAATAGAAAAGAAGAAGCAATCTTCCAAAGTTTACGCGATTGCCAAAAACACATCTTTCTCGGAGAAGATAACAAAAGGCTACGGTTCAATTTCCAACATTTATATTTTTTGCCTATTTGTTTTTTTTTTTTTTTGTTTCTTTGTTGATTTGTTGTCTGTCACAAGGCAACTTGACACTTTCTTCCACATTTTTATTATTTATTTATTTACGTCATTTTTGAAATAATTTCAGTATTTAACCCTATTAAATTTTGTGACCACCAAATAAAAAAATTGAAATGTTTCGTATATTTATGTATACATTGTCCTTCCTCTAAGACAACTATAAGAGAGTGAACCTGTGTATATATAAAACATTAAAACCTGAGATTCTTTCAAACAGAGAATAATCCATCGAATTTTAAAACTAAAAAAAGGTTATCTGAAACTAATTTTTTTTATAATTGCCTGAGCCATTGTGTCAAAAACAGGACGTAACTGTGCTAAACTAACATAAATAAAAAGATAAGAGTATACTATGAAAATTACGACATTGTGTCTATATACCAATCTTTTTTATAAAAAATATTTTTTGGACGAAAGCTAGTGCTTTCTTTTTCTCCATAAAATTTTATCCAATAAATCTTGATAGTAAAAAAAAAAAAAAAAAAAAATCTTCTCCAATTTAAGTATTTTACTATGCCGATATTAATAATATAGAGAAAGTGGATATGGCGTATTACTAATTATATAAAGCTGGGGGGACAAGTGGACAACTCAGCCGTGACAACGACTAAAACAATAGATATTAAAAGATCTTAATCATTGGCTTAATGTGTATCATTATTAGTTTAAAAAAAAAAACTTATTTATTCGAAAATGTACAGCTAAGCTAAACTAATTCTAAAACAAATTCTGGGATGATGACTAAACTTATCAAAGTCGCCAGTTGGAATAATGGTTTATCAAAGTCATAATAAGAATAGTTTAGTTTTTTTTGGGCATACAATAAGAATAGTTTAGTTAAGTAGGGTTTTTTGGACTTTAGAGTATATTATATAGGAGGTTGAATCTGGGCTGAGTATTTAACTATTTATTATATATTGTATAAGAAAACTGTATATATCGTTATTGAATTTATCAACCATATTAAATGTAATAATACGTGTAATAATACTGTTTGTGAAATTATTAGAGCTAAAATTATACATTCAGCCACTTAAGGGGAAGTAAATAAATTATAGCTATCAAGTATTATTAGGTAGTAGCAGATCAAATAATATTGGTCCTATGTTAATAAGCACAACATTGCCTAGTCTGGGTCCTAATTGCTTCAGCATTAGTAATACTAATTTGCTTTTCCTACTATTTCTTAGATTTCCACTTTTGGGTTTCCAAGTTTTTAAGACTCTTAAGGCCCATTATTAGTGTACAGTTAATTTCTATATTCGAATATGAACAAATCGTTTCATAGCTTTTTGTTAATGAAATTCTTTGGCCCATATGATTTTATACAAGGCCTGTTAACTAAATTTAAGGATTTGTATGTAAGATATGTTATGTCTTATCATTATTCTTCGTTTTGATATGCAAATGCCATAAAATAAAATAAGTAAAACTTATGAAAATAAACCATAAGAGGAACGAGTTTATTTTTAATATATTTCGGTTACACTCAACCTGCACTGATACTTAAATGAAACTTTATAAATATTCGTTACTCCATCAAACCTTTACTAAACTGTGTATAGAAGCAATTTATAGCTGGAAATCTATGAACTTTATTTATGTATTACAACAATAACCAGTAGTCATTTATCTGATCTAAGCAACTAATCCTATATAACTCCAGCTTCTGTAATTTTTTTATCTATATTATTGTAGTCCAATACATTGCAATAAGATTATAGAAGTATAAGTGCATAAGTGTACCTCTACGACTCTACTGCTACCTAATGTTTAAAAAAAACCTGAAAGTGAGTAAATTATTGGGACAAAACTAAATCTGCTCCCCAGTATAAGATCACTAAACCACATGGTCTGAAATCTTAATCATCCAATCAAAGATTAATCTTATCCTTTTTAGTACAATTAGTAACTTAAATAAATGTATAAGTACACAATTTTTTTTCTTCTGGAGGACTAAAAAAGCCTAAAACATGGGAGAAGGAAATTACTAGAGGAGAGGGGGGGACCATTAGGGTGACACGTGTGTGATTAAAACCCTGTATAATTGCTTCACTAATCGTAATTAACTAAGTATTGAGAATCTGATTAATGGTCCCCGTTACCTTTTTAAGATGCGTATTAGCTTTAATTGGTCCCTTCCCTTATAGCTAGCTTCTTTCACATGATGGGGGTTAACTGTTTAATCTGCAATCAAGGAATGTTAAAATAAAACATTAGTGTACAATGTTTGGTTTTAAGTAAGGGATACAGTAACACAGTACTGAACCTGTTTCGTCAGTTTGTCACTGCTCGAAGAAGAAGGATTTAGCCATTCATTAGGAATCCTTCAATAAGTCACTAATAAACAACAAGAAATCTCTACTACATTAACATGTGTAAGCAGCACCAAAAAAAATTCAGAAAAAGGTATTCTAGATTTATTTAATATTTTCAGTATAATATAAGATATGTAAT